AAGTCCATAACTGTTGAACTTAATTTTTGACTACGCCGACTTCGAGCATTCGAGCTCGTTGTTGTTTAGATTTAAATTAATTCGATAACTACAACGCTATCTACTGGATTATCAATGAATATGATAAATGATCAGAAACTTGGAACATTTTTTTTTGATTAGTTACCGAAGTACAGTAAATACTTTAGTAATCTGTTAATCTGTATGTACTCAGTAGATTAGACTAAAGTCTACCTATACACAAAACACAAATTGTAAAATGTATTACTGACATGTGAGTTTAAATTTAAATCCTAAAACATGTATTTAGTCGTCTTTAGATGAATTATGATATAGATACAACATCAAGGATTTAGGTACAGAAAGTAATATTAAAATATTCAATCATGTCTTCTAAGGACTTCTGTGTAGGTTCCTYTTCTTATAAGTTTATCTGGAAGTCCTAATGAAAAAAATTAAGTACCACAATTTGTCTTACTTCACTGGGTAATTTTATACTCTTACAATATTAGAAAAAGCTTCAGTGATATCTGAATACTTGACTGTTGCAATAATGTGATATACATTTGTTAGACGTTAAAACTGAGCGGACATCTATCATCAAATTTTAATACTAATGAAATAGGTACCAAAGTAACGAACTGTGAATGGTTTATTACCTATCCGCTTTTTTAAAATAATATCTAAGCAACACGCCTAGCACATTGGTCTTAGCCAAGTTTTATATAATATAATGTCCTGGACCATGGTATATTTAGGTATCAATAAAACCTATCATGTTCTAGAATTAATTRGAAAATCATGATACATTATTAACAATATATATATAAATAATGATCATAATTCATAATACAAAACAACAACTTAATTCTAATTTTATCAATCAAAGTGCTGCTGTAAATTGAAATTGAAGAGTGAAATAGTTACAGCTTTTGACAAAACAAGGTTTCGTGTAAAAAAACTGAAAGCAATCATGAAAAAAATGAAATGCAAATAATTTTAAATTGTTTCGACATTTATATATTTCTTTTTATTATAAATATTGATTTCAATAATACATGTTAACGGTAATTGTTCAAAATGAAATAATAATTCAATAAAATATTCATTATTTTTCATAAGCTACTGCTCTTTTTACTATAAATAAATACATTAAAAGGATGGTAAGGAACCAAATTTGACTAATAATCACTAACTTACAAGAGGCAATTTAAAATGTACAAATATGTTGTCAAATTAATGATATTAGTAAGTTAAATATATGAATAAATAAATCTCTTAACATTTTCAATTGTTAATTAAACTTAAATAATTAACGAATAYTAGATTGAATAATTGAACATGAAAATTGAAGTACAATATAAGCAAACCATAACTGGATATTAAAGCAGACAAAAACACACAAATACGAGAAAAATCTCGGCAAAATAATATGATAAATATTATAACGATTATAATAAATTATTTACATATTTAATACTGAACAAAATTATACAGGTGGGTATCTCATTATAACTATCTTAGTGTATACTGGTTATTAACCGCTCTTACAACATTTCCCAATCCTGGTTCGGGTGTTGACCGATTAGTAAAGTCTGTTTGTAAGTCTTTTGTTTTGGTTCTAATAGGAGCCAACATTGTCTTAAACTATAAAAATATAATTATTATCAATAATTACCTAGGTATGTTTAAATTAGGTATATCAAGGTAAATACTTCTCTATATAGTTGAGGTGCTATGGGTCGAAGTCCRTGATCTATGTTCAGAGGTAGAGGGGCATTTGGATCACGAGTAATAGCAATAAAATCAATATTGGTATTGCTTGGAATCACTCCATATTTAATTGGGGTATTTAGTATATAATCTCTAAGAGTTACATCGCCCGGTCCACCATTCTCTAAAGGTATTAAATGTGTTTGAAAATGTTCAAGCATATCTTGTATACTAGGGAATGATAGATGTTGTACTCGACAGTGTCCTTGGTCATTTAATGTCATTCGTAAATGCTAAATAAAAAATGTATCATGAATTTTTAAATATTTTCATACATACATATGAAATGTATGTATGAAAGTTAATTGTAATATAAGTTAAAAATAAAGAAAAATTAGCCATCATTTTGTAGAGTGCTCTGCCACAAAATGTGTTTTACTAGCAGCAAATTAACTATAATTACGGACTACAGAGACAGAACAATTTTAATTTAATTATTTATACCTACATTCAGACTCTACCATACTTTTTATTTTATTTTATTTTATTCCAGAAATTATGTCTGAAGTTATCTAAGAAAATCTAAAATATTAACATCTATTTAAACTAAACATATTTTAAAATACAAAATAGTTAATATTTGATATTATAAAAAAGGTAAATTAAATTATTATTATATTAGTAGAGCACATATTGCGTTCGTAATAATGGTAGAGTGCTATACAACATGATGGTCAAAATAATATATCTAAATTTTAACAATACCTTTGGTTTTCCCTTAAAATTAAATGTCAACACATATTCACCCTTTCGAGTTTCAGACTGTCTGACTAGAAACATTCCATGTCCATTAGTGCCTAAGTGTGACACCAAATTAGTAGCATCAGATCGAGCCAGCATACCATGAAACCATGGATAAAGGCGAAGAGATGCTGATATATCATTTTCTTCGGAAAAACAAACCAATGGTCATTATTCATACACAAATTAAWACACTCTAATTAATACTTACCAACATCATTGTTTAAAATAATATCTAAATTATTGGTGGAACTCTGGGGTGAGTTTAATAATGTTTCATTTGAATGTGCAACTGATGAGTCTAACACACCATCAATACTGCCAATAATACTACACAAAATAAATTCAAAAATTACAATCATTGCTTATACATTTTATATAAAAGTTTTATTCATAATTATCACCTTATATCATCATGCAAACCATCACGTTTACGCATGCAATATTTTACAGTTGCAAGCCATTGGCRCATTTCTTCTGGACTTAGGGCATCAATTATATATTCAACATTGTTTTCATCCTATATAAATACAAACAAGAATAAATAATTTATAAGTAAGTAGTATTATACAAAATTAAATAATTAATTTTTTGTAATAATACTAATAAAACTTCTTGTATAAGTTATAATACTTCGATAATTACTTTTAGTACAAATGTATTAGCATATCGTTCAGGCATTTCAATTTCTTTGGTTTCTCTAGCATCTTGTATCAAAAAACAAAACACTCCGTGTTTTGATTTCAAAGACTAAAATTTAAATATATGTATTGTTAATGAAATTAATTTATTATTATTTTTTTTTTTTTAATGTATCATAATTTTTATTCACCTATCAGAACTATTAATTAAGGTTATATGAATTTAATAATATTTAAAAAATTATATTATACCTTAGGAGGACAATAAAATTCTAGGGTGTAACCATCTGTGTTCTTAACCAATGCAAGTCTTGCTTTCTCCCATCTGGGTTCACCACCATCAAATGTTTCTCCCAACCGATAGTTTACTATACCTTCTTTACGACATTCCACAATAATTTTGGCCAGTTTTTTCTTACATTTTATAGGTCTTTGGGACATTATAGATGCAGCATCAAGTTCTACCTCATCAGAATGYTGTTTGTGGAACAATGGACGAAGAGCTCTAAATGACATTCGTCTACAATAAAAAAGTTAATGTATTATATAGGTAATTATGATACCTACTTCAACAATTCTAACTTACCTGAAAAAAGGTTTTTTCTTGACAGTGATCATAGACTCTGTATCTGAATCACTGTTACCAGAATCATTGTCTGGCCAATTGTATCTATCACACTCACGTTTAAAATGAGCTGCAAAAACTTTAATGTAATGACCAAGTACTTCCTGCCGAGTGGATGGCTGAGATGAAAATGATGACACTAGGTGTTCAGCATTGACTCTGGCTTGCTCATCACATAAATCAACCCAATTATTTGCATGATTCATGATTTACAACCTAAAAGTTTCAATAATGGGCACACAACACTCCAGTATGGAATCGAAATAACAATGTTTTCCTTTCATCACTAGTATGCATTACTATTTCTAATTAATTGTTTAATGAACATAAAAACACGTGCTAATTTTAAAGGTAAAATACATACGAGATATATTGGAATAAAATTATTTAAATATTCGATACTCGTCTAAAATTGGTATGTTTAAAGTGTATGCAAGTATATTTAAAATTAATTATGTAAATAAAGTATTGTGTTTTTCAAAAATTTGAACATTTTTAAGGAGTGTAAACAACGACGTACGATCCGCTAGAAATATTTGATAAGAAAGTGTAGACTGCAAAGTTCTCAAACAAGTAAAAAAACCAGTCAAAAAACAATTATTGACCAATAGATAGCGCAGTACTCCGGTAATAACCAGCGATTTACTACGAATTAAGATAATATCTATTTACTCAATTCCGGTCTCCGGATGACCGGATGCGGGAATGACAAACTGGGACATATTAAAAACATATGTTCTATGAGCAACGTGAGTRTGTTTTGGTCACTAAATATCACTAGTAGACCTTCTCTAAATCGTATTTTTGTAGTTTTGGATGTAGATATTTAAAAATAGCAAGTGTCATTCCTTTATTATCTGCAAATTCCAAATTCCAATATTATCAAAATAGAAAAATATGCCGGAATAGCATGAATTAAGATATATATGTATGTATTTATTTATTCATTAGTGCAGTATGGGAAACAGAGAAGTCTGATTTTTTCATAGATATAAATAAACTTATGAAGTTAAATTACATAATATATTAATATTGAGGCCGCGGTCATAGAGGGGAAGTTTAAGGAAATTTTTCATTGCATTATCATTTATCACTAACAAAACCGCCAAAATAATTACTGATTAAACATTTCAACGTATTAGGATTTAGGAATTAGGATTAACACAGATTAAAGATTACCTAAATAAAAATTATAAAACCTAACTGAACTTACATAATTTGTGTATTAGACATTAGTACAGAATGATTCTGTGGTATTTGTATGAATAATAATGATACAATGATACGGAAATAATTATTTGAATTCATTTAAAATGATATTATTATACATATTTTAATATTTCATATTATAATTACGCTTTATTAACTAAATATTAGTATTTATTACTGTATAATATATTTCTTATTTTATCAATAACAAAATATTAAAAAATTTAAATTTWGAATGTTACTTACGTGTTGTGTTTTCCATAGAAATACTAAAAGTGATCCGGATTTATCATTCCATAATTTCCAT